AGGGATGTGAAGGGTAAACAAAGGAGGAGGCTGCAATGCTTGGTAAGAAATGTATGCATTATCCTGCCCATGTAATTGTAACCCTTCTGTACAGTATGTTCACAAATAAAATAAAATTAAATTAAAAAAAAACACGAGCATTTGTTTTAAAGAAGATATGGTAGGGGTAGCCTACGAGGTTCCCCTGAAAAAAGGATCAAAAAGTAGAAATCATGATTACAATGATGTGTATAGGGTACATAAGATGTCATTTGATATTCTCTTCATTTCCATGTGTCAGCTTTTACATGTTTGTTTTTCTGTATAGCTGGGTCTGGGAGACAGTCTTTAGGTGGTGACCACATGTAGCATTCAAGTACATTGACTTACACATTAAGAAAGTTCTTATGTTTCCTATTCTATACAGAACCTGATCTAAAGTACACCAGGCCATGATCAATTATACAGAACTCTGGGCATCCACAGACAGTGAGCCCAGAGAAGATACTCTTAGGGAGGAGCACAAAGGTACGATGCCTATGTACCTCTGATCATATAAAATAATATTTATCGAAATATTATTTCCAAGAAATGGAAACAAAAAAGAAGTAGTACATATGAAGAGGAAAACAGGGGGAGAATGCAGCCCAAGAATTTATTGTATATACCGAAAAATTAAGACAAGTAAGGGAAGGAGCGGGTGAGAATGTGGAAAGGCTGGCACTGATCGGGAGGCCTTGTATGCAAAAACTGCTTTGTTAAATGACACAACCTTTGCACAACTACTTAATCTTAATAAAGAAAATAATATTTTTTGGAAGTTGTTAATGAACAGAATATCAGAATTAGACTGTGATTGTCAAGTAAACAGCCTGAACTGTTATTGCCTTCTAGGCTTTAAACAAAACAAATATTCTTACCTTTAGTAAGCCTGTTATCTGTTAAAAATCTCACTAGCTGGACAATGGTGGCTCACACCCATAATCCTTGCTGCTCAAGAGGCTGAGATCTGAGGATCACGGTTCAAAGCCAGCCCAGGCAGGAAAGTCCATGAGATTCTTATCTCCAGTTAACCACCAGAAAAAAATGGGAAGTGGAACTCAGGGACAGTGTCCAGGCCGAGTTCAGGCCCATGACTGACAAAAAAAAAAAAAGAGGGGGGGGGAAGAAAAGAAAAGAAAAAAGGAAAAAAAATCCCTTTAAATAAGTTGTGAAATTTAAGTCACTGTTCATTTTGTAAATTCATTTTGGTCAAAACTGTATTTTTAAGTTTATTTATTTCTTGCAACAAAATATATTATTTGCAACTAAAACAATGTACTTTTAAGGAAAAAAAGGTACATTTATCTGTTCCATTTCAAACCTGTGGAGAAGCCTTGTGTTTGGCCATAATAAGTCTAACACCCCTCTCACACTTACTAATCTCCTGTTTCAACAAAGCCAAGGTAGGCCACAGGCTCAAGAACCACAACTAGAATTTAGTCACATCGGTTGGTTTGTTTGTTTCCAACTCTATTTGCTTTTACCTTCTATCTGTGACAAGAAGTTCTGATTTATTAAGGCAGGACCAACTTGCATAGTCAGGTGATATCTTTTGCTTCAGGGATGCTGGCCTCACGGCAGTGAATTTAGGAAGAAGCAGAGTATCGCAGGATGATTTTCAGAGGCTCTGGTAAGGTTCACCCCATCATATTTTCTAGCTAAGCAGTGAACTGGATCGGGACAGTGCTGAGATGATGAATTAAGGATAGGAATTTGGGTCAGGAGTGGGAGAAGACTCCCAGAAAGTCAAATAACTAGGAGCCCCCTTCTTGAAGGAGAGCCCATGCTGCATCTAAGGCATTCTATGCTGCTCTCACCCACCCCCATTGCAGACAGGCTGAGAACTTACACAACACTCACACAGGGTCCTCAACATCACACAGAAGCATAAACTGGATCACAAAATGTCTGTGCCATAGAAGAAAGACAAATACATAGCAGTACCCCAGAAAGAGTGAAAGGAGGAAACTAACAAGGCACTGTAGAAAAGAGAAAATTAAACATGATATTCATGAAGAAAACCAGAAGCAGCCTAGGAAAGGAATGAAAAAGAGAGAAAGGAAGGAAGGAAGGAAGGAAGGAAAGAAAGAAGGAAGGAAGGAAGGAAGGAAGGAAGGAGGAAGGAAGGGAGAAAAAGAAAATAAAATTTTCTTATGTGCATATACTTTCAGAAATATTTTAGAGCCAGAATATAATCAGGAAGAATTAGACTATCAAAGAACATGTTGAACTATATAAATAGAAAACTGTTCCTTATCTGAAACATACAACAAAATTCAGGATCCTTGCTGATGTGCTAGAAGCAATCCCATTAAATTCAGAAATAGAGATATGGTCTGCACTAATGTTAAAATTATATCTACCTGTGTGCTGTGCCATAAGATGGAGGGGAGCATAAATGTTAGGGGTAACTTGAAATTGTCACTTTTGCAAAGGATTGCTTTACATAGAAAATAGGGAAATGAATCAAGTGGAAACTTAATTTTTATTTTAAATGATTTATTTATTAGAAGTTTAGCCCAGGGAAAGCAAATCCAAGATTTATATAAAGAAATCAATAGCTTGTTCACACACTAGCCCAAACCATCCTAAAAGTACTTTCAAGTAAATAACCTTCAAAGTAACAACAAAATTTCAAAATATGCTGAAATAAGCATAGAAAAAAATAGGCCTAAATGAGGAAAATTATATGCTTTACTGAATATAAAGACTTGAATAAATGGAGAGCTATACCACAGTATAAAGTTGTTAATTTTCCCATAAATTAATACATAATTTGGGTGACATTTTCAACATACTGTTAGTGTATATTTTTGGGGGGGGGTCCGGTCGTGGTGCCTGAACTCTGGGCCTGGGCACTGTCCCTCAGCTCTTAAGCTCAAGGCTAGCACTCTACCACTTGAGCCACAGCACCACTTCCGGCTTTTTTCTTATGTGGTGCTGAG